GTCATATAGTTAAAAGGAAAGAGAATCAAAGTAGTTGTATATAATACGAGTGTAGCTACGTCATATAATATGCGGTATGTATTTATTGTAATATAAGAGGGTAGCACTTCCAACACAAAGCTGACTTCAAGAGGCCTTCTATATTACATGACATGTCAACACAGTTAATAAACTTTTTTGAATTAAAGTCTAATAACTACACAAAAACTAAGGTAAGACTCTGCAAAAAAAAAAAAAAAATGTAATCATATTAAAAAAAGGGTATCGACTAGAAATCGGTCCATTTAATTTCTGTTTTATTAAAGAGTTGCAGATGATCCGTATGATTACGTCATAGGTTCACGTGTTGGTCGTAAAAAATCCAAGGAGCAGTATGCATTCATTTACAGGTAATCATAATTACGACATAGACCTAATAGACGGATTTTCCTTATAATAATAGCAATAGCAACAAAAAGAATAATAATTACAACCACAGCCACTACCACAACCACCACCATAACAACAACCAGAACACCAACATAACAATCACAACAACAAACATAACAACCACAATAAACATGCAATAACAACCATAACAATATAACAACCACAAAAACATAACAACAACATAGCAACCACAGCAACATAACACACAATGATATAACAACAGCAGAAATATAACAGCAGAAATATAACAACAGCAATATAACAACAACAATATAACAAGAAAAATATAACAATAAAATAACAACAACGATAATAACGACGACGATGATGATGACGTCGATGATGATGATGATGGCGATGACGAAGGTGATGATGACGACGATGACTGATGACGACGATGAAGATGATAACGAGGATGATGACGACGATGATGATGACGACTATGATGACAATGACGATGATGATGATGATGACGATAATGATGATATTGTGGCATCTCAGCACGTTCTCCATTCTTTTTAAGGTCAGATGAGGTTGAAGTAATAGACAGCTACGAGTATGACGATGGGGATGAGTTGTCTGGTGATGACTTATATGAGAGGGAACCGTTCATCGTCCGCTTCCAGTCTAATGCGACACGTAAGACTATACTGTAGTCGAAAATAATATCGCTTGTGCATTCGCGCTCATTCCATGCATAAACGGCGAACAAAAAAAAAAAAAATACAAAAAATGGACACAATCTCGATAATTATCCTAAGATTACCAGAAATGTATGTATGAAAAAAGACATAAACATAACAATTAAATAAGTAGTAAGTAAACGTTCTCACTGACAAAAGTGAATTATAATAATGTAAATAATTATATTACCAATTATTATATTGCCAGACGGTATATTAGAGGGACCTAATATATGGGGAATCACCAGAAGCAAAGAAGTGTTTAAAATTAACACTATTTCTTATGTATTGCCTAATTACTGTAGTTGTGAAAGATTTTGTGATTGTCGGAATACACACAAAGCCGATGGAAGCTGTATCTGAAATTGACAGTCTTGTCGAAGTCTACGACGATATTCTCAACCGATGGAATACTGACGTGAGTCTAACTGTTGCTTCTATTTATTTTTTTAATGTAGGTCTGCATAAATTGTATACCATCTTACAAGTAGCATTCGCGTAGTTACTACATAATATTTATAACACAAGTGTTTTGTGTAGTGTTGTGTTGTTATTGGCTATTATGTTGTGGTAATCACTAGAGAGGGGCGCAATTTGAAATCCTAACACTATAAGAAATATATTTAAACCCGGATTTCTCTGCATATGTATTTGAAAATGCTGATGTATGATTTGTTGTAATGGCCTTTTGATTTAAAAATGTTGTTTATTTGTATAAGCTTATTCTTGTTTTGGAAAGGAATGTATTTCAAGGTGGCTGTTGCCTTTGCTTTTGTTTTAATTTTTAATTTTGATTTTAGAAATTGAATAAAAAAAAACCAATAAATAAATGTGCGTATTGCAACTGTACCGGTATCGTACAGGAATAGCCACACTTTATTGCTAGTTATGGCGTGCTCATAACACTTCGTTATAAATATGAATTCATAATATCAATCTTCTTCATATCTGATGTTACGGTTACACAAAATACAATATATCCAAGAGATGTGATATCTGCTTGATCAATGGGATGGGCAGTATAGCTCAGTCGGCTAAACTGATGGAGCTACTGTTTGTAGGCTGAATCGTTGGTTTAATTCTAATCACTGCTCTCCTTACAATACATTTGAAGTTTAGACGGAGGACTGAAATGAAAGTACCGGTACTGTATAAAATCAATCAGTCAGTAGATTTATACATTTTAGTTGTCTCAATAAAAAAAAATGCACCGTATTTCGGAAGACACGTTTAAAGTTTAAGCCGTTGGTCCCTTGCACAATATGGTCCATGTGCACGCCAAAGAACGCAGTAGGCTATGTTACAATAACCAATAATGTAAAAAAAAGAAAAAAAAAGAAAAAAAATTGGTTAACACATAATGTAAAAAGGTTTGACGCTTACAGGCTACACTTTGCAGAAAATTGTCTCTCTGTGTACTGCTCAATCACCAGGGCGTAGGCTAGTTTTGTCCTGAGAATAGAAGGGGAGAAGGCGGTGCGAAACGACCTGTGGTGTTTGAAAATTGAGAATGCAGAACTAAATCCGTATTTCTATGAAAACTTAAAGGTCATTTTAGTACTTTAACCATGGGCACCGCCGCACCCCCAGCCGGTTCTAAGGTCTTCAAAACCCGACTGTGTCATTCGTTCTCACCTTTACTTACAGAATGTTCTGTTTGCTGGTGATATGAATGCCGACTGCAGTTACGTCCCTGTAAGTCGATGGCCAACAATTCGTCTGCGCACGGATGATAGATTTAAGTGGTTAATTGACGATGGAGTGGACACTACAACAAGTAATACTGTCTGTGCTTATGATAGGTACGTATCCTATCCTAAGTCGTGTCCGTTCTTTGCTCATAATTTTAGTAGTGGTAGGGCTACTTTGCCTGGTGTTGGGATAGGGTGCGCCTAAATTAAAGTTAGCTGGTATCGGGTAGCATAAATAACCTCTGATAATCTATCGAGGCTTATACTTGTCAATGTTACATTATAGATTTGTCGCTGCGGGAGACGAACTCGATAACGGTATTCGTAATGGCAGCGTCAAGGTGTTTGACTTTGACGAGGTGTATGGTCTCAGTGACGATTTAGTACGTACTTATGGTGATTTACGAACTGTGGTGATTTCTTCACCTTTTCTCTCTTAGCTTAGCATTTTTGATGATCAGAAATAGTAAATGGTTTAAATAAGGCCAAGTATGAACAAGAGGAGGCGCAAGCCTCAAATGTCCACTGACAATGTTAGATTAAAAGATGTCTAACGGTTAAAAAGGCAGAAAAATACCTCAAAATCTATTATAAAATTTCAATAGCTCATTTGAAAAGATTAAATACATGATTAGGCCAAAAAATTGTTTGTTTGCCCTCCGCCACTTGCCCCTAACTCACTGAAAAAATAGGGGCGGGAAAACTTTAAAAAGTTTTTTTTTAGCTTTTTTTCTTTACAAATTAAAAAAATGTGAGTGAATTTATCTTTATGCTTTGCCAGATGCCCTACAAATTAGTCTAAAGTTGTTGTCTGATGTAAGATATTTCTAGGCCTCTGTGGGTTATTTTTATTCTATCTGATGAGTATTTAAATAAATAAATAAATAAATAAATGAATAAACTTTTCCACCCGCCCCTATTTATCACTTTTTAAAAAAGAAGTGCAGACAATCAATTTATTTTATTTGGCCTTAGCTTCCAATGAGAAACAGATTTAAAAAAAAAGTAATTTTCACTAATTTACAGAAATTTTAATACAAAATCCTTAAATGGATTTCCAGCCAATTGAAGGATCTATGCAAAAAGATACAAAAAATTATTATTTTAACTGTCGGGAAATTGACAGGGGAATATTTCTTTTTAAACTAAAATATTTAATTTTAAGTTAATAGCTTACAAATTATATACAAATTAAGCAATTCAAATATGGATTTTTTTTTATTTGGACGATAGTATATCATATTTGTATCTTTTTCTTAATATAAAAAATGGCTTACTTCGTTAGATGATGGATGTCAGCGATCACTTCCCGATTGAGTTGGAACTCCTTCCTGATTTGAAGTAAGTATATATAATAATATTCATATTTTTAAGTTAAATGGCTGCAGAAAAAGTTATATTCATCGAAAGTAATGGACGATCGATGTCATGCCTGTATTTGTAATGGCACGTCGGATATAAAGTTTCATTTGTGGGATGTTTTACTTTGAATAAGAGTCATATATTTTCGCTCAAAGTGTGTCGCAGTAAACCTTTGGCCTAACATATATATTTTGTTTCTCTAACAGTTTGGACAAAGTTTTAACAACGCCATCTGACATAGACTCTGGATATCCTGCCACCATGTACATGTATCCCACAATGCACTTGGTCACCTTTGCCGCTGTGGTATTTAATTATTACGCAAACTGTTAAAAACGTCAACAGGATTAATTTATATTATTTGCAATGCTTCTGTACCTCACTATTGTTTGTTTTAATCATCAAAAACATTTGCCACAATATGTAGGGTAGGTCTGCCATGAAGCTTATTGGTAGGCCCTACCCCTCCACCCACGCTGGTCAGAGAGGTTGACATAACTTGTAGTTAAAACAAAGTATTTTTACAGAACACGATTCTAAAATCGGTTGAGCCTATTGAATCTTTCATTGTTGGGGTTTCCCCCTGCCCCAGACACCCCTTTAAGGCTTAAAACACCTGATTTTGTTTAGTGTAATTGGGTGTACGACAACAACTCCGGTGTTGTGACCATAGCTCAACGAAGCTGAGATACCCGGTGTAGCGTAAAGTAAACTTAGATCCACTTTCGTTAAACAGGCCTATTAATTTCGGTTTTTTTAATAACATAATTATTTGTATATTTTGAACGTAACAGTACTGTAGTTCAAAATAATAAACATAATGCAAATAATGTTTAGTTCTCTGGATTGTATTTTTCGTTTAGAAAAAAGAAGTTGGTTTTGTAGTGTACAAATAAATTAGGCCTATGTTTTAAGGTTTTTCCGCAAAACTATGCTTGATTGTGAGCTGGTGTGGTTCTCGTCAGACCTGGTTCTCCTTGTTTATTATAAGTCGTGGCAGCATTTGGACCCCTGATAAGTCAAAAATATCCGTACAATGATGAAAGATACCAGCAGAGACGGTCATTGTTAAGCCTGGTTTCCATACAATCGCTACAGTATTTTAAGTGCAATTTTTGTACTGTCTAGCAGTTCCCGACGCAATCGGGAAGGCTCTCCGATTCGACCGACAAATCAGCGTCACCGAAATCTGTCAACAATAGCGTTGAGCGATTGTATGAAAACTACGCTTTACTAATTACTCAAGACCATTATACACGCAAGTTGCCTTGGTCTACTCTGTTTTAGACCCTAATACTAGGCTGATAGGCCTAGTAGTACTGTACTACTACAGAGTACTACTTGATTGTTTAATAGTACCGTAATATCTATCGTTATTAATTCATTGCACTGCCACTCGTGAACGAGCACGGAGTATTGAACGAAAAACCGAAGTTTCCAGCAAAAATGTCCATAGAGGGCAGTGATCAGCACAACTGTGCAGATCCCATAAGATAGAACTGTGTATTATAGTGTAAATGGGTGCGATATGGGGTGTGGCTCCTGTTTCACAACGGTGTTTCTTTTGGCTTGGAAGTGTAAAAGGGGTATTATCTAGCGAGGTTGTGTATCTTAATTGCCATGCGCCAGAATTCTAATAACTGTAAGAGAACATTAAATTTGACAATTTCTTCTTGGGATGTACACTTGTTATTAAAACAATATTCTTGACTATTATCACCAACAAACATCTCGTTACTCACCACCACAGAAAAATACACACAATTTAGAGCTTTATTTACAGTACTCTTATGTACATTTATTATGCACTATTTTTTCCATACGTTATCAACATGTATTTTACAAGTTATCCATTTCATGATACCAAACAAATAATCGATCATATGTAAAAAATGGAAAACTGTCTAAAACTACTGTAAGGACAGTTATATTTACAAACTAAACATAGCTTAAGTACAAAATACTATTAAAAACAAAAACAAGTGAGGTTCCCCTACTCTTATGAATTTTGACACTGCTGTATAACTTAACTTAAAGCATACAGTAGTGCAGCATAATCCAATGTACTTCTATTTTGTACAATGAACTAAAATTATCCGTATTTATTATTATAATAAGAATAATAATTAATATACTCCAAGATATCTTCATCAATTATTTTTTACAATTCACTAAGGGTATCCACATGCAGTTTTACAATATACAAATATACTATTTATGACACTGGACTTTACACTTTGCTAAGGTTATCTGAATAGCAAACTAAACAATTGTTTCCCTAAATTATTTTGCAATATTTTATTACTGGCTACACAAATCAATATTCAAGCAACAGTTTCAGATAAAAGTTTAAAAAACGCCCTGATTTCTTGTGTGACTATTCTGTATACATGAATAGAACATTTTTAACCAATAACTTTATGTCCAATTCACCGTACAGTAGTATTTATATTTCTAAGCTGGATAATACACATTTTTACAAGCTAACCCAATGTAGGTTATGTACAGCTGTTCTTACATAAAATATATCCCAAAAAGCAAAGATATTTTAATGTGATTTGAAAAAATACATCCCAAAATATTTACTTTTTAGCAATGCTTTCAACGAGCCTGGCACGCATCTCTGTAGCAAGCCGAGTCATTTCTTCAATTTTCTTCTTTAGACGTTCGTTTTCGGTTACCAAGAACTCGGCCTTCTCCTCCATATCTTTCTCTTTGAGCTTGCGATTCTCTCGGCTACGCCTTGATGCTATGTTGTTCTTGTCGCGCCTCTTGCGATATTTGAAATAGTTGCTGTCTCCCTCATCAATTTCATCGTCAGTTGTAGTTGATGATGATGTAAAATGGCGTTTGCGACAAACGTTTTGGTCTGCATTGGGAGAGCCGATGTTGGATATAAGGGAGGAACCGGCCTCCGTATCAACAATCGTTGATGTTAAAATAGGTATGTCATTTTCTGTCAATTCTGCGGCTTCGCTTGGTACAGTCTCTGCTAAAGTTGGACTAACCTCCTCCTGTAAAAATTGTCAAAATACATTTAATAATTTATAAATTTTAAAAAATTGTTATAATTAAAGACATGGTGACTAAAAGAACTAAAAATCAGTTAATTGCTCATTTAAATAAAGGATAAATTAGGATTTTCTAATGAGAGAAAGTTTGGAAAATTTTATTTTGCTAACTTATTATTACAAAAAAAATGATAACCAATCTAAGCAAAAACGTAAGTTAGTGTTTATGCATTTTTATAGTTAAACCCAATATTAAAATAATGCTATTAAAAATATTCTAAAACTCGAGAAAAAACAATTTGGTCATACCATATCCTACCATGTACCATTTTGAATTTCATTGATGTATGCATTTTACATTAAGTTTTTACCATTAATACTAAAGATAATACAATAATAAATCCACTATTTCTAGGTATGGTGCAATAATTGACCTTTGACTAAGGTTGCATCAGCATTAAAAGAGACTACTGCACTACATATACTGCATTGTAACAGGACTGTTGCAATGATTGTGCAATGATTCCTCTGAAAATATATTAGCCAATCAGAAAGAAGCTGAACTATTACATCATTTTCTTGGCATTTCATTGGTTATATAAGACTACCTGACAAAAACTAAAAATGAATGCAACTGCCAGTTATCCAATAGGCTTTTTTGGAATTTCGTACAATCTTTTGCCAGGGGTGGTAAACTAAAGATAGCAACTAGATATACTGTGTTGGAATATACAGGTAAATACGATTAACAAATATATTTAGAGTACTTACATTTGTGATTGAACTGAGCAGGTCTGATATGTCCATGTAGGAGTCAAAGAAATGTTCCATGCCATTGATAGGCTCTGTTGGGCTAAGCTCAACCTCACTGCCATATGGAGATGGACTCTGTGGTTGGCAGACTTCATCTACTTTGTTTTGGAGGTTGAATGAGAAATCTTCTGGGTTTAGCTCAAGCAGGCCTTCAAGTTCCGGAAACAAATCCTTGATGTCATCACTAGTTGCTGGAGGGTAGTCCGACTCTGCCAGACTGTCAGCTAGGCCGAAGGTAGACAGGTCGGGGTCATCTATTAGAATGACATTATAAATTCTTTAGAACTTTACATAACCACACCCAGAGACACAAACTTTCATAGTAACATTCAGATAATTAATGTACTACAGAAGAACATTAACTTACCTTGGTTAAATACTCGACCGTGTGGCAGAACCAAGCGTTCTGTAGTGGGAGTTGCCTTCACCCACCCTGGTACATCCAAAGAAGAGATCATCTCTTCTAAAGAGCCAGGGAGGGCTAGGCTTCCGATCGCTTTTACGGTGCAAGCAAGATACTTCGATTTGGTTTCCTGACATGTTTTTTGAAAGATGCATTCTGACGTTTCTGAAATTATTTCGGTATTCAAACCCTCCGTGGTAAAGTTAACGTGCTCGTGTGGGTGAGAAACAACCGACGTGTTGTTCTCTGTTAACCTACAAAAAAGATATACAAAATTCAATTATTCAATCACGAAAGTTTTAATCATATATGCACATTATATAGACATAATCCTACAAGTAGGGTGGGGCTCAATTTAATAAAAAAAAAAATAGATATTAATTTTAATATAATTCAATTTTCATAATAATTCACTGCAGTAGACTATCAATGTCATGTACAAGTTTCGGTTGACGTACAGGTAGGCTGCTATCAGATACAACGCCCCAACGGTCCACTTACCTGCCGCACCACCCAAACACGGCTGGCAGTAAGTATGAAATTTGCCTGCCTAGCTAGGCCTAGAAACACGTACAGTACCTGATTTGTAGCTATGGTAGGTCTACATAGCATTAATCTATATAAAATTTGTATTAATATTTACCTCTAGTGTCGCTTTCAAACACAGCAGACAATTGCCTGTCGTGTTTGCCGAATATTGCGGTCTCTACCGTATTTTCCAGCTCGTAGTAGCTGCAGCGTTTCCCTTGCCGATCGTATTAGCAATGGCGATCGGTCGTGAATCTTGCACTATATTGTGCAATTTCTTCTAAATTTAGCTTCAATGTAATGCATAGCAACCAATCACGTTTCGTTTCATGTGATGATGTCATTATCCACCAATCATGCTCAGACTTGTGTATACAAAGCTTTGGAAAAGAAAATGCTTGTTTTAGCAATGGTTAGCAAGGCGTAAGATACGTATTTAGAATTTATATATGAATAACAAACAATAAATAATTGAATGGTTCACAAAATTGATTTTGTCAGCAAATATATACATCATCTTATCGGCCTTATTTGAGATACGCTTATATAGCACAGACCTTGTCACAAACTTTAAGCCTTTTATACACCGATACTGTCAGACTCGACTCGCTTTAAAGACAGGCTCCGGATTAGAAAAATCGGATATGTTGTACAACTGAGAACACTAAAAGCATATTTGACGAAAACCTCATGAGAGGTTAATGAATGCAAATTTTTGAATACATAAAAATTGGGGGAAAAGGGGTGTAACCACCCTGTTTTCCACTATCAGTAGCGGCTCTAGATATATTTTTTGGGGGAGGGGGAGGGGCGCTAAGCCTGTCTCTTATACACATCTAGATGTGTATAAGAGACAGCAAATCCACTATCAGTAGCGGCTCTAGATATATTTTTTGGGGGAGGGGGAGGGGCGCTAAACTGTCCGACAGGGAGACTTGAGCTCCGTAGGCCCAAGCTGGCGGAAGGGGTTGAGAGTGGGGGGGGGTCCCCCCTCTCAAATGAGATTTGTTTTTTTATTAAGAATAGCAACCTCTGGATGGCCAGAGATGGCACTCTCAGACTGTGACAGTGTGTTGGCTTGGTGTGGGCCTATTTTTTAAAAATGTTTTATGGTCTGACTGCCCGACGAGCTCTGTCCGAAGTGGGGAGGGGAATTGACCTGTCCGGTGGGAACTTAACCCCCTGTCCCCCCCACTTGCCCCGCCAATGTCCACCACAGAAACTGTTGTCTATAACAAAAGAACAGTTATATTATAACAGATTGAATTGTGTCTTAATGGTTGCCATTCCGGACCCACAGAATGTTTTAATGTTTTTAATCTCATTCTAAAAATGAGTTTAAACTAAGTGTGTTTTATTATTATAGGGTGTCTTAACTTGACCACCATTATTTGGTGTGAATTTATATTCAGGGTTTATAAAAACTCACCTTACATGATTGTATATTTAATTATTAACTAGTAATGAACGTATTCAGGACCTCTGTGTATAGCAGATTCCAATATATACTGTAGTTCACTTAATTTTAAAGTTAAAAGTAGGCAGGCAAAGCTTAATGTCTCAAGTTCAGTAACTTGGTAACAATTTGTATCAGGGTCGGTCGTTCTTCATTTTTATGTTTTATACTAGGCCTAGATTTGGGGTTAATTAACAACCCCACTCACGTCAAACATTGGTTGGTTAAAATATAACCAATAGAATAAAATCAAGTTAAAGGTAAGCCTGTCTATCTTTCAAAACTTGAAGCATATGATCATATCAATTTGGTAGAAAATACATTCATTTTGACCCTCTAAACAGGAGTGTTTAAAGATTTCGAAATCAAGAACCGGACCGTAGGCCTACTTTTTAGAAAGTTGGGCATTTGTTAGAGTTTGGATTTATGCTGGTATTTTTTTTCTTAACCCTTGGAATTCTGCGATGTTTTTTATTGCGACTCTAAAATGCCAAATAAATAATTAAAAATGTTATCATTCGAACATTCTAAAAAAGAGAAAAGGGATTCCAGTGTTAAACTTAAGAATAAAATTTCTATTTTTAATTTATTTGATTATTTGATTTGGGCTACTTTATTCTCAACTTTTTTTTCTTTCTTTGTTGTCTTAATGTCTCTTTTATCTACTTTAATTGTTTTTTAATCATGCTCAATTCATTTACATCTTTATTTGTAATTTAATTTTAATTTTTATAATATATTGAGTTTTTTTTAAATATAATTTTGAATTAATTCTTTATGTAAATTTTGAATTGAAAGGTTGTTATTTATTTTTCTGTAAATTAATTAGTTTAATACTCCCTTTTATTTTGTTTTACTGTGTATTGAGGGGGCCCTCATGATCAGCTTCACATTCAAATGTGTATTACCATCTGCCCATATATAAACATACAGTAATAGAAAGATCAGATATTATTGTAGGCCTATGTCCCTAATTCAATTTGACTTCAGTGAACTTGTTGTCGATGTACAATATTTGTAACCCAATGCTTCGATCACTTTCATGACAGATAAATCATTTACGTAGATTACAATATGTTGTATGCGCAGCCCCTAATTGTTTTGCCGAGGTCATCGTGACGTCACCACAGCGCGGGGATTTAGCTTCCTCTCATGTTTAAATTTACTGAATCATTTCCTCTTGTACAGGCTACTTGTGTTCTTTAAAACTCGTTTAAGCAAAACATAATAGGCATAATTATTTTCGTATTGTACAATCATATTAATAAGAATGGTAATAGATTTTCATGTTAATGATTATTAATTATGGTTACCCTAATTATTAACGATGCCTTTAATATAACAAATGTTTCAGTTTTATTAGGCCTATGAGCGTTTATTATTCTTTATATACGAGTATATCTGCCTATAACATAATAAATATTATTGTTATTATTGTTTATATCATTATCATTAAGGCTATCAATATCAATTTTAACGTACGGTATATAATATTATTATCAAGCCTAGGACTATTATCATTTTTAATAGGCATTATTAGGTTGTTTATTGGTCTATTATTATTATTATTATTATTATTATTGTTATTGTTATTGTTATTATTATTGTTATTGTTATTGTTATTATTATTATTATTATTATTATTATTATTATTATTATTATTATTATTATTATTATTATTATTATTATTATTATTATTATGTTGTAATGATGTGGTTTGTACTGTTCTTTAATTTTATTAAAGAGGGCCCCTGAATATCAGTTAACCTACTGGGCTAAACTAGAAGGGCTACCCTCTTTAAAGATGGTTGAAAAAAAAAATAAAAAAAATAAATACCCACTCTGACCCAAGACCCCTGTTACGCGCCTGGTGTTAGCGCAAATGTGTGCCCTTGTGCGGACAGGGGATGTGCCCCCTCTGAAGCTGGAAACCTTGTTTTAGCAAAATAAATTGATGCAATTTGCTATTATAGGCCTAATCAATAAATTCCTCATCAACCGATATAACGTTAAACATTCTTGGAATTGACATAACATTAGTGATGTCGTACACACCCTTCAGTGTGAAATGTGGCTCTATTTGCAAGCACATCTAACATAAGAAGAGCTTAGATTGGTACCAGATAAAATAATTTTGTTATCAACATTAATACATTATGCTAATTTTCATCTTTGTAAGCGCATAAGACAGTGCAACTTATTTCTGTGACAGTCTTTTGAAGTGTGTAAAGCTCCATTTTATCCAATACATAGTCAAAATATTGGGGGGATGATGCAATGGACCATCCCCCCTTGTCAAATATTGGGGGGATATATTCCCCATCCACCCCCCCCGGGATCTACGCCTGTGTTTCTTAGTAAATTTGAGTCCGTTCTTTTTATGTGTTTGTCCTCAACCAAATGCACCAGCGAACGCCGGTGGGACGGTTGGGGAAAAAAACGAAAAAAAAAAACCTCCCTCCCTCATCAGTTTTTATGCTGGGATAGGCTGATAAACTAACAATTTTTTTTACGGGGCCTAATAGTAGTATCAGATATAATTTAATTGAACGAAATACGCGAGCATCGGAAACCCAAACTGACGTACGTGTAGGCAAACCACGTATATGTAATCATATCTGTGGTGTTCCATAGGTGTTTTTTTTAGTGGTAGGACAGTGTACTATCGTATCACAGCAAGGTCAAGGTGTTATGCGGTACCATTCCCGGACGGTAGTACTGTACAGTAGTGGCCTTGTTCAACGGCAAGACATCATAGTTCCCATGGTAACTGCCACAGGTTTGACAAACCTGACCAAACAATTGATTTATAAATAATAATAAATGATGATGATTATAACAATAATAACAATAGTAATAATAATATGAACAATAACAATAACAAAAATAATATAACAATAGATCAGCTCATTAAAATCAGCCATCGAACACATCTCAACTTGAGATATATGTCCTATGCAAAATACCTAAGAAATCATTAAAATATATCATTGAAGTTAACTTGCCCATTTTGAAGTAACATACAAGTTATCAACTTGAACATAGAAGTTAGTGTATTTATTTATTTTTTTACTAACAATGTTACAGCAAAACAGATATAAACACTTTCATCCGGTCACTGGAAGTGTTTTATTAGGCCTATGTATCCAGTTTGAAAACCAGGGTACACATTTTTGAAAATTAAATAATGTTATGCTCAAGTTACCGTAATAATTTAGTGTCACTTCAAAGTGAGCAAGTATATTAATATATAAATATTTTTATGATTTTTTTTTTGTCATTTTCAAGGGACAATCGATAAAACATTTAAAATGAAACGATGTGACACAGAATTTGATATATTTTGCAACGCTTTATTAAACCAGCTATTAAAAGTCTATATTGAATTTTGAAAAAGACATATATTATATCAACATTATCAATAATACGACAGAACATGAAATATTCTTTCTCAGAGTTGTGCTGTAAAATGGCTAAAACAGAGGTCCAGCTCAGTTTTTGCACATCTTCATTAAAAGCTGTTTCAATCTACAGCGCTATTTCTGTGTCATATTATAATATCGAAACAGTAATGGAGTGATTGAGAATGATAGACTTAGGTTTTGCTTAGATTTGTGCATAAAAGCCCAGTGACAGTATTAACAGTAGAATGAGGAATTCAATTCTGTTCCACTATAGGGCCTACACAATTATCAGTAAAATTCCATATTCTTTATTAACATTGTCTTTTTCGAGTCTAACTCGTAGGCCTACGGCATAATATGACTAAAGGGGCTCTAAAATTTCAATCATTATGTCCAAGGTACGTTTTCTGTTGGAATGTGTTAAGAAGTATTCCTCCCCCGTTATTTCCTCATTACCGTGTTGTATTCATTTCCTGAGAATTTCAAGTACTGTATAGGCCCCAATAGTATTAGTAGGTCTTGTAGCATACTGTAGGCCGGAAATATAGCATTAGAGAGTAGTAGAAATAGTAGTAGGGAGTTTTCGCAACCTATGAACACGATAACGAATACGAATACGTCATTATCATTATCGTTATTCCTGCCTAAAACATTCTTGAAAATTGCTGTATGAGCTGAATATGATCCTTGATTCATGCAAAAGGCATGAATCGTCTACGTTGTTACAAATATCCTACAGTAGGCGAGGTTGTCTAAAAAGTTGATGACGTTCAGTACGGTATCGTTTTCCTAGCTTGCGAAAACTTCATATTAGTAGTAGGCGTATTTTAGAGATTCTTAATTAACATTTACATTTAGTCAGCTTTAATTTGCTAAAATTGCTGGCAGTATTGCTAATATGAAAAAATATACAATCTTTTAACAAATTACTAAGTCAGATCAAATGTATATATATATATATATATATATATATATATATATGTGTGTGTGTATATATATAATATATAGGCCTATATATACATATATATAGTCCTATATTCATACCTACATAGATATTATTATATATAATATATATATATATTATATATATTATTATATATAACATACTGCACTGGCCAACTGATGTTTCAAGCTTTTATCTTATATTGTATTAAGAAATATAATATACTTATCTTATAAACTATAAAACTATTCTGTTATAAAAGTATTGTAAAAGTGGAATGCTGCCTTAAGATTTATCTGCCCTATCTAGTTATTACGATATTCATCTAATCATATTATTGACTAAATAATATCACATATCATATAAAATACAAAATACAAAATACAAAAACATGACAAATGCATAACACAGATTAAAGCATCATTAAAATTTTGAAAATACATAAAACCCTGAAAAGTGTCATCTATTTTGTGTGAAGCACTAATTCTGTAAGACAATATTGATAAACAGTTTTAACAGTATGTACACATTCAATTATTGCATGTTTTTCTATAATATTCATAGACAAACATCTGACTGGCAGAGGCGACCAAAGAGTTCTCATAATGCATAACAAACTTGAAACTCTCAAATCAAATTAAATTAACAGTACATAAAAAGTATTGTTAAAGTGGAATGCTGAGAGGGCCGGCTAAGGGTGGGGGGGGGGTATATATACCCTCGTCGGTGAATCCGCCACCCGAAGGAAAGGGTAGATCTTGTCGAAAATTTTAAAATGTAATAAACAAAATAATTTACATCACACTTTTATTTTCGTTTAGACTAAACATATCTTCTTCAATGAGCTACACTATAAAAACAGCGTGGAGCATTTCAATGTTGTCTCGTCTTTGGTGACACGTTTAAAAGCTAAACGTGTGTAGGCCATGCCTAATGTGTTTAGGTTTCTGACATTTTTTAGCATTAAATGTGCTAAGGTATTTGATATGATGTCGAATACCTAAGCACATTTAATGCTAAACACGCCAAGATCTTAAATACATTAAGCTATATCTAAACAATTTTAGCTTTTAAACGTGTCACTAAAAACAGGACAAGATTATTGCGTGGAGCTTTGTGTTTAAATCCCCCACGCTGTTTTTACAGTGTATTTGTATGCCATCACAAAAGTAATAAAATAAAATAAATTGCCATTTTATTGTAAGTTATGACTATCAGAAAGTTGTGCTTCTGAAACATAGAGCCGAATCGCTACAACTTAAAGTTGCGCCACAACCCTTAAGAGATTACCATGTTAAAAAAATATTGACTGATGGATTCGATGTTGTACGGTCCGGAATGTCTTTGAGTTCTCAACAGAATGACAATGAGGGATGTCATTTTTCTGCTGACGTCCAATAAACTTTGTTTCTACTCTAGTAATTTGTTACAAAATATATTGATTTAGGCCTGCCATTAGGAAGTTGTTTGGACAACACAAAAGTTACACGAAATCATACTACAATCAGTTTCGCAGATTCCATGGGTGTGAGGGGAATGCCTTCCTTACCAAAATATTGGTTGGTAATTTCAAATCTCAGTGAGAAAATTCACAGTAACCAATGCCGTAACCAGAATTTTCAAAAGTGCCGGAAAATAAAATCAGGGTGGACCCACTTGACACGTAAATTAAAACGATGTAGACCCATTTTATGCAAAAATATGAAAAATCTGGACCCATTTTCTTACATTTTTACCCAATTTAGCCTAAAAATATGAGAAATCTGGACTCATTCTTCAAAAAAGTGAACCCATTTTATGCATTAAATTACATAATGTGGACCCATTCTTTGTGGACCCTTTAGAAAAATTGAGTGGGACTGTCCCAACTGTCCCAATAGCTGGCAAGGCCATTGACAGTAACATAATAATAAACGTTAAAACGTCTGTTTGATAATTGGTTTCGTTTCAAATGTTAGTTCAGTCGGTTAAAAAGATTAACAATCACTGTGGTTAAAACTTAACACAATCATTACGAATGAACTGCACTTAAGCCTAAATACGTAAGTACAAAATGGTTTGTCCTTTTTCCATGTTTTGTAATTTAGAGTTGATAAACCATTCATTTATTTTTTTTTCAAATTCATACAGCATTAACTTTGTCAGATTTTCTTCTCAGAAATCTAGTAAATTGGTCATCTAATCCTCTAGAGAATGTGTGACGTCCGGTGTCCCTGGGCGGCTCCCGCCTCCCCCCCCCCCAAGCATTAGTAGATTACTTTAAGTTATTTCCTCCTACGAACATAATGGAACTCCGCCACTGACATAGGCTTACATCAGCCTGACGCCTATTAAAAAACTAATATCAATTCGCCAAAATTTGTCAAATATTCGTGTTTAATGCCTCTGGACACCTATCGGGCGCCCTAAGCGGCACTCAGTCAAAGTGCCCGCTTCGCTCGTATAGCCTACACCGTCGGACCTTCAGCCCCTCCGCCGAGCAGATCCTGACACCAATACCGTGCCACAACAGGATTTTTTTTCTAACAATCATACACGGCTTCATTCCATAAGCCTCATAAACATATTGCAATTGGCGAGTTAAGTACGTACTTGCTGTTTTATACTTTGTATTTTTATATTGTAAATTAGCATTCTTGTCTATTTTTACGGTAATACGCAATTTAACATATTTTAAGAGAATTTGCGCAATTTAGATTAATAAATTATTATTATAATTTGTCGGATGTAATACTACGAGAACAAGAAATACTCTCTCAATAGTAAGAGCTTCTGATTGTCCGAGACTGAAGCTAAAACTGTCTGATTTACTTTTGATTAAACTTGCTTTTTTGTTATTAATTAATTTAATAAGTGCCATTATTATGCTAATAATGTTTTTATCAAAATTTCATTTATTGTTGTGTCACTTTTGAGTGAAATGGTCTCTAAGTAAGCTTATGTATAGACTTGTTTTATACCACATATTGTTCAAAACTGTGTAATGTATTTATCTAGCCACTCGGAATATTAATATTCATTGCGTACACTTCACGTATAACGACGCCCTCTAGCTATTTCCCCAACTTCATTTCTGTGTTCCGAGATCTGATTTTAAATGTTTGAGTTGAAAATTGTTCGTTCCTTGTTTATCATTGCCCTGCATGCTGTTTGTTGAGGTTTTTCAATCAGCCTTTTACTACACTTAGTGTCTTAGGG